CAGGCCAGGTGGTCAGAAATCTTACAACAGTTTGACTTTGACTGGGAATACCGCCCAGGGCGAAAGAATGTGGCTGATCCATTCTCTCGCATTCCTCCATCGCCCGATGAGCAGGAGGCTAAGAGGAAAAGTCAACTAGTTGTATGTGGCTTAAGAGTAAAGCATAAGCGGGGCAGCCAAAAAGAGGCAACTGAAACGGTAGAGGCCAAAGATCTAGCCTCCAGGATCCGTCAGGCCTATGGCTAGGATCCCCAGCTTGCGTCTGTTAGACAGCAGCAAGATATGCGCTGTACAGACGGGTTGTGGCTGCGAGGCACTCAGGTGTATATCCCTGAGTCTCCCAGTCTGCGGACTGAGATCTGCCAGTTGGCTCATGACTATCCAAGTGCGGGGCACTTTGGTCAAGCCAAGACCCTGGACTTGGTCCAGCGGCATTACTGGTGGCCAGGAATGCGACGAGAAGTACACCAGTACGTCGATACTTGCCTGGTTTGTCAACAGGTTAAGTACCCTCGTCATAAGACCCCAGGCTTATTACAGCCACTAGGCATTCCTGAGGAGCCATGGACAGAGTTGTCCATGGACTTCATTACACAACTGCCAAAAACTAAGGGAGGTCATGATGCTATCGTCGTGTTCGTCGATAGACTGACCAAAATGGTCCGCCTTGCAGCTACGACCACCGAGCTCTCCGCAGAAGGAGCAGTTGACCTGTTGGTGCAGAATGTGATAAGGCACCACGGCCTCCCCTCTCAGATAGTGTCCGACAGAGACGTTCGGTTGACTTCCAGGTTTTACCGGTACCTGGCCGAGAGGTGGAAGATTCAGCTCAACATGAGCACTGCGTACCATCCACAGACGGATGGCCAGACCGAAGTCATGAATCGGATTCTGGAGGACTACTTATGCAGCTATACGCGTTCTGACCATGACGCGTGGGATGAACTGTTAGCCATGGCCGAGTTTGCAATGAACAACTCGAAAAACAGTTCCACCCAAGAAACCCCGTTCTATCTGAATTACGGGAGGCACCCAAAGAGTCCCTTAGCTCTTAGTGTGCAAATTCGGAAGCCTTTAAAGGGCTATGACAATCCGAATGCCCGCGGCTTGGCAGTAGCCATTGAAAGGGCGCAGCAGCCTTATTTGAGGCAGTCTGGTACGCCCCTCGTAGAGGGATTACCAGCAGTGACACGATTTGATCACCGTGTCCAATCAGCGCTGAAAGAGGCCAGGGCGTGCTTAGAGAAAGCACGAGATAGGCAGTCAAAGCATGCTGACCGCCATCGAAGAGAGGTGTCGTTTAGTAAAGGAGATGACGTCCTCCTTTCGACGCAGCATATTACTCTCAAACACCCTGGGACTCGAAAACTATTACCGAGGTGGATTGGGCCCTTCACCATCCTCGACCGGATAGGTTCTGTCGCATATCGACTAGAACTCCCGGAAAGCATGCATAGGATACATCCAGTATTTCATGTATCGAAGATTAAGCCTTATAAGGCAAGTGGCAGAGTACAGCCACCCCCAATACCTATCGAGATCGAAGGTGAACTGGAGTATGAAGTTGAACGTATCCTTGATAAAAGGATTAAAAAGCGTGGGAGACGCAAAAACTATGTTGAGTACCTTGTCAAATGGCTAGGATATGGACATAAGCATAACAGCTGGGAATCAGCAAAGTCAGTTGCAAATGCACAGGAATTGGTTCAAGCATTTGAAAATGGCAGAACACCTGTGATGCGAATGCAAACTGCATGAAGTACGGGATGTACATACTGAAACATGCTCATGTGTGCTTATGTTTTTGACAGGTTCTCTTGCGCTGGGCCCAGAAAAACACTGGGTATACTGCCCCCCGTGCAAGATCGCAGTTTGGACACATGAACGCTATGTCCGTTGCGATCCTCAACGGGGAGAGGTTGGAGACCGCCGACCCCTACGTGCCATTTCCCCGTGCGCCTGAGCGTGCACGCGGACGTGGGCGACGGCGGGGTGCCGCACCGGGCCGATCTGGACCGGCGTGGGCTTTTGGTGGTACTCGGCATCGTGGTCGCCGATGAAAGGCCGGGAGGTCAAACATTTCCAGCCACTTGGCCGAGGAAGAGTTTTAATGAGGGTTGTAAAGGCCGGGACGGTCATGTAAAACAACCACTCTTTCTCTTCATCCAAAACTGTTTTGTGTGTTGTGTTTTGTTAACTGGGCATGTGGCAAATCGCACAGCCAGTTCCACCAACATACATACAATGTTTCTGCTCCCGTATTCACTTATTCGGGGACGAGGACGCCCCTCTCCCTGAGGGGGACGAATGTTACGCGCACCAGCCTGATGTGGGAGACGTCCTACTAATGGCCCTTGGTGGGGGGGACGCCCTGCCCAAGGCACGTACTATTCCTCACCCACTGTAACCTTTATCCATATTAGGATACGGGAGTAGGAGGGGTGGTCCCGCCTAGGTGCCCTGTAAGGACCTAGGTGCCCGGCGAGGCGGGTCCGCGGCTCAAAGAGGGCAGGAACCCCACACCCACATCCTATTCGTAACATTAAGTATAATGGCAGTTGCCCCCTAGCCCAAGCAACTCATATGGTTCTTGTAGGCCAAGAGCACTTGGGTGGTGAAAAAAACGTACTGGGTGAGAGCTTTAGATATAATTAGAATCTAGCTGGTATAAATTACTTAATAGGTATTTGAGCCAACTTGGACATGGTACCTTCACTCCTATAATCCATACGGCCTACACAACTTTAGAAAAGCATAGCAGCTGTTGGAAAGCCGCCTGTCATAGCAAGGGGCAGGCTAAATGGGCCCAACATGCTTGTGGGAGACTCTCCAAGGGCTGATGGTAATGGTGTAGAGGTCAATATTAACCCAACTATTTCCTCATCAATGATTGTGATGATAGGGGTTAAGGAACTTTGTGAGGGGCACTGCAAAAGCCAAGGAATTGTATTGCAGGCTCGGGAAAGGGGGGGTATTCCACCTATAAAAATGGTTAGACCGAAGACCATGTGCACTAGGCCCAAATCCTACACTATGGCACCCTGGATGTTGTGAATTGTTAATATTGGAGTGAACTTCTTCTTAGTTCCTTGGGGATATTGAGACATTATAGATTATTTGGGTATTTGGCACTTTACCTTTGGGATGTTCTCAGTATACTTAAAGTTATTGAGATTTGTATTCATATGGGTTTTGGAGATTTAATAGGTCTATGGAATATTTGGACAATTAATACAAGCTCGTGTTGATATAATGAATATATTATTTATTTGTAATTGTCTTCTGGAGTCAGCCCACCTCTTTGCCTACCACGCAAGTCTCGGGTGTGCACCCCATGGTGCCATCCCTTCAGGTGCATGTGGGGTGGCACAATACCAGGGGCCTATTAGGGACCCCAAAGAAAACTGGACATACTGGAACGGTGGAAAGGAATAAGAATTGTGACTAAGGACCGATGAGACAAATTGCCCGATGCACCTCTGAGAATCCTCTGGAAGATTTTGGATTATTTTAAGTGAAATTGAGATCATTGTGAGGGAGCCACTGGATTATAGATTTATGATACAATATGTAGACACAAGTATTGGATGCTCAACACCGATTGATTCTCGAACCAAGCTGGAGGTGGAGTGACCATTCGCTAAGCATCTTGGTGTTTCAATTTGATCGTGTTGGGGGACTTAAAGAGTGCCTAGACTTTTGAACTAGCGATTGAGCTTGTGGGTCCTAGAACATTGCTGCTGAATTAAGAGTAGATTGTTGATGACATTGTGGGGTGCTCTGATTTTGTGTTTGACATATGGTGGGATCATCATACAAGGCAAGGGTGGCTTGTTGCCATTCTCATACAAAATATTCTATTCCAAATGAAGTCGTGTGTTGTGGATCGCCCCAAATGATGGGTGTCCATGGACCTGGCCTCTGCTTGCACAAAATAGTTAATCTCATTTTTTGGTCAGTGGGGAGCCAATCAACAAGAGGGGTGCCCAAAAAGCATTGTTTACTATGCTTTGCTCTTACCTTCCTATCCATCAGAATCTGGGTTCGGTTTGAGGATTTTATGTAGGTCAAAAGCCCTAAGAGTTTGCACACAAATGGCAAGTTCAATTTGACAACCATGAGCGCAAAAAGAAGGAATGTTGATTTTGATGCACTTGGCCATTGTGCGGTTTGGAATAGGATTTGCGCGGTTGTGACGCACAGGCAAGCGCGGCATGAACGCAGGCGGCGCTCAGCAGTGCACAGCATGAAATTAGTCGCTCTATCTTTTCCGTGAAGATCCCTCCTTGTTCCGACGCCCTAAATCCTTAAACCACTGGCACCCTCCCTGCCCGCGTTGGCCTTGTCAGCGGGGGAAGAAGGGTGCTTCACCGAAAAGACAAAGGGGCTAATACATTCTCGTGGTGCGCCAGCGTAATCGTCAGCGCACCTCCAGCATGGTGTCGCGCATGGCGGCTCCAAATCTGGGTGGGTGGGCGGTTGCTGGGCGGACCCAGCTGTGGCCGCCCACGGGTCAGTGTAGTCGCCGTCCCCCTCGCGATGACTGTCTCCGCTCGGCGAGGGCGGCAGCGATGCCCAAGGGTCGGCAGGGGGCGCGCTGATGACTCATCCGCGGCCGGGGCCACATGAGTCACATGACGGAGGTGGGAGGGAGGCGCCGAATGCTCGGCTGAGGGCCTTCCGCCCGCAGCCTGTGCCAAGGCCACCCCAACCGTTTACGCCAGCCCAAGGCGCCAAATAGCTCCCTTGCCCCCCGCCGCACCTCTTCCTCCCCCCACACCTCCCGGCCACCCCCCTCCGAGCCCAGCGAAGGCATCCGAGGGCGCCTAGACGCCCGCAGCGTCGCGCTAAGGCCCCTTTGCCCCGCTGTGCCCTCCGCGCCTGACCGCCTGGCCGGGGGCCTCGTCGGTTTGGGTGCTCAATCGGCTCAGAAGGGGATGCAGGGAGCCAGTGTATGTGATCTGGGAGGTGCAGGAGCCGCGCGCTGAGCGGGGGCGGCGATGCATTCCCCCCACGGCAGGGGCCTGGGGGCGGGGCCCCAGGCGGCCGGGCGGCCGATGGACAAAGGCAGCCAGAGCACATTGTGAGCCGCACACCACCACGGACGCGCTCGGGGACTGGCGGCAGAATTTTCGTCTCGTCCGCTTGTCGCGGGGTGGGAGGAGTTGGGAGGGAGCTGTTCGTGCGGTACATGTTGCGGGGCTGGGTTCGGCGTCCCCGGAGTGAGGACATGTGGCCCCTGGGGAGGGTCTGAGGCGGCTTTGGGCTTGCTCGCTGCTGCGCAGGTACGTGGGCAACCTACACCCCTTCGTGACGGAGAACATGCTGCAGGAGATCTTCACCTACGCGGGCGTCGTGGAGCAAGTGAAGATTGTCAGGGCAAGTGCGCGGTCCCCCTTGCGCTGATGGCCCGGCGGTCGGCCGGCTTGGCATGCCGGGCCTGATGGGGCTGATGGGGCGGGATGGGACTGCTGCGCAGGACAAGACGACGGGCGCAAGCGCGGGCTACGGCTTCGTGAAGTACTACGAGCCGCGCAGCGCGCAGGTGGCGCTGCAGACGCTCACCAGCAAGGTGATCTACGACCGGGAGGTGCGCCTGAACTGGGCCTTCCAGAGCAGCCAGCGCGAGGACACCAGCAAGCATTTCCACATGTTCGTGGGCGACCTGAGCCAGGACGTCACGGACGCGGCGCTCTACGCGGCATTCAGCGGCGTGGGCTCCAGGACGTGCTCGTGAGTCGTCGGCCCGCCTCCGCCCCTCAACTTGGATCTCAGGCAGTTCAAGAAAATCAGGCGAATTTTTCTTTTGAGCTCGGCGCCAGCCTGGTGCGGCCGCCCACCGGTGGCGCACGCCCGCTGATTCACACTCGCGCTTCGATTGCGCCGGCGATTGCCTGACATGGGTCGCTCCCTGGAAGGAGTCCGTGGGCGTTGGCGCCCTGGGAGGGTTCGGGGACGCGCGGCGAGGCGTCTTGGCGACCCTGTTGCGCGGCGGCGCCGGATGTGGCCGGGGCCGCCGGGCGAAGGCGCGAGGGGGATTGCGCGATCGGCCTTCGCGCCCCCTGGCGGGGTTGTGATGATGTGGCTGCGGGCGCACAGGGACGCGAGGGTCATGTGGGACCACAGCACGGGCCGCTCCAAGGGCTACGGCTTCGTGTCCTTCAGGAGTCGGGAGGACGCCGAGCGGGCGATCCAGGAGATGCACGGCCAGCTGATTGGGTCGCGGCGCGTGCGGTGCGGGTGGGCGCAGCACAAGCAGGTGGGTTAGGCGGGTGGGGTGGGTCGGAGGGAAGGGCGCTGGGGAGGCCGGGTGCTGCGCATCGACTGCGGCGCGGGGGGGGGAGACTTGTCCGTCCCTGTAGGTGGTGCGGAGTTGATCGGGTGGCTCAAAGCTGCTCGGGCCGCCTCAATTGTGGGTGGCTGTTGTGGGGTGATCCAATCGCAAGGGGCGCAGAATCTGGGCGGCGTGGTGTCTTTGCTGCGTGGCAGCATTTGTCCAGCATGCCGATGGCTTCGTGGGTGCCTCGAGTCGTGAAGGGTCCTCACGGTTGGGCTCCTTGTGCTTGCAGCAAGACACGTCCCAGCCGATGGACTACGACACCCTGGACAAGTGAGTGGCAGTTTCTGCGGCCAGCGCACTCCCCGTCTGTCACCAGGGACCCGCCCTAGTTGCCCAGATCGTCGATTGCCGGCCATCAGTGTAGCATGCTATTCTTGTTGCGCTTGAGACTTCTGCATCAACTTGTGCAACGTGGAAGCAATTCCTTGCTCAGAATGTGCCTGCCCACTTTGCAACAGTTCCGCCTGTTTCTGCAGAAGGAAAGTCGTCACCTTTCAACAGTACCTCACCTACCCAAAAAAGCAACTCAACTGCTGGCGGCTGGGCAAAGGGTGCTGGCTGTGTGTGTTGTGCTTTCAGGATGGGCGCTAGCACATCTTTGGCTGTTCTTTGCATGGACTGAACTGCAGCCATGTTTTGAACAGTCACATATGGACACCGCACCCTTGCCACGTGCTTTCTTATCACTGCTGTTGTTGCCACCTGTCAGGGCTGATCCAACCAACACCAATGTGTACATTGGCAACATTCCAGCTGAAATGACCGACACTGACATACGCCGGCACTTTCAGCAGTTTGGACCTGTTGTAGATGTCAAGCTGCACAAGAAGGGAGGCTACGGGTTTGTCAGATTTCAGGTGAGCCTTGGGGATTACTGGTGCTGGGAATGTCATGATTGGCCCAAGACTGTGGGCTGCCTGACACAAGAGTGGATGGCTGCCACGCACTTTCCTCTGTGAATTATGTTGTGTGCTCGAGGAGTGGTGCATGCTCAATATCTTGCTCATCTGCCTGGTTGAAGAGATTCATTTAATTGTTTTGTTTCTGTGCTTGAGAATTTGGGTCTGTGACCATCGAAACCACCACTTGGTTGTCATCCTTGTTCTCAGTTTCAAAGTGCACCGATGTGGAACTGTATGTTTTGAGCTGTTGCAAGTCTGTGCTGCCTTAAATCCAACAACCCATGTTCGGCAGAATGCTAGAGACTGTTGTCACAGTACAGTTATCTCGTTTCTGGCTGAATCTCACCTTGCAGTTTCAGCAGTCTGGTGTGGATGTTTTGCCTGGGGTTGACTGTGTGCCAAGCATGATGGTGGTGCAGAAACATGCAGATGCGGTAAATGCAATTCTCCAGACAAGGGGCAAAACCGTTCAGGGCAAGGTATGCATGTCTGCATTTGAGCCATGTTGGCATTTGCAACCATACCATTTCCAAATGAGGGGCCCTCACGCAGAGACAGTGTTCGTTGTGTGGGGATATTGACATGCCCAAGAATGGTCAAGCATCAGTGGAGCGTGGTGAAGAGTTCTGACTGCACAGTTGGCAGCCTTTCACCATGCATCTGAAAAGGACAGCTTTTGCCAGGGACACATTCTAAGACAGCTCCCATTTGACCGTGGCAATACTGTCTCACATCTGCTGGCGCCATGAGTGCAGCCTGCAGGATCCTGTCTCGATGTGCACCACATGTTCCAATTCAAAGTCTGTCATTTCCAACTTTGTGTTCCTCGTGCCCATGAACATGATGTACAGCTGCCACGATTTTGGACAAGTTCAGTATTCAGATCGATCCAGCTGTCTTTGAACCGTGCAGAATGTGGTTTTCTTGCTGTTTTCTCCTCCCTGCAATTGAAGCTTGCCTGTCTGGCATGCAATATGTCATTCCATGGTGCACAATTGCTGCAAAATGTTGGAAATGTGAACTCGAAGTCACCATGGCTTACCTCAGTCCATTGCGTCCATACTTGCGAATGACAGCACGAGTTTTGACTACGAGGCTCAACGTTTTTTCACTCTCTTTACTGTCGCCTTGGTATCCATTGCTTCCAATCATTGGTTAATAGCAGCACCAAAAGCAAGGCTGAGATTGCTGGGTATGGTGCTTGTTGACATGTCCAGCCATTCAAGCAGCATTTATGCTTCATTGGCATTCTTGTCAAAGTCTTGTTGTGTACACAAGTACCCCCGGGAACAAGCTGTTGAAGATACAACAATGTCAGCAAGACGTTGCAATCTTAATTTTTTTCTCTGGAGGTTACACAAGGTGTTCCAGTAATAGGACACATTTTTCTGCAGCATTATTCAACATGGTCAGAAACTGTGGGAAACGAGGTACAGGGTTCCAGGGACACCAGCGAGCAGTCTTTTCTGGGAGCTGCAGTTCATCTGTCCTGTCTTTCTTGCACTTCAGGACGCTTGCTGGAAGGTTATGAAATGCCACTGGGGCAAACACCCGGACAGCCACACGGAAACAGCAGCCAACCGAATGATGCTGCCCGGGTTGAGCCCCATGGGTGGGGTGCTGGGCAGCGGGGACCCCGTGATCCAAGGCCTGCTGCCAACGGCTCAATACATGCTGCCATCGCCCATGACTTCGCAGCAGATAATGATGGCTAACCAATTCATGGGCCAGGGACCAATGTCGCCTGGCGGAATGTCGGGCATGGGCGTGCGAGGCCGGGGAACCCCACGGCTGGGTGGGGTGTCCACGCCGCTTGTGGGCACGCCGGGTGGGTACTACCCAGGCATGTATTATTCATCGTAGCTCCAGTCGATGTGACTGTTGGGGACAGGGTGTGGCCCTGTGCGGGAGCAATAATGCACCTGAGAGGCTGGGCCCCTGCCTGCAATGCTCGCTGCTGCCTTGCCCACACGTGGGGCCTCGCACAAGACTTTTTGTTTGGCTGCTGGGATTGGCAGGACAGAATGAGCGACGAATTTTGGGGAGCAATGCATGGGGTGTCTGGTGGTTGAGTAGACCATGCAGGGGAAGACCGGGGAATGCAGCACCAGATTTGGCGTGTGCGGGGGATGAGCAATCCTTAATTCACTCCTTGGATTGGTGAAAGGCTGCACTTGTCTGTGAGTGCTCTAGCCTGTACAAGGTGCGGCGAACAGTAGGTAGGACATCCCCCGCGCGCGGTGTGGCATGTTGGTTCCTGTGTTTGCACTTCTGACCTCTTCTTCACAATTGCTCTTTGGGATTGGATGTATGTTTCTGGGTTTGGAAAGAACGATTCCTGGTGGTTGGCTGGTTGGGTTGTGGCCAACCACTTCACCAGAAGAGATGATGCCTCAGCAGAGGGCAGAAGGTCGTGTATAGAATCCCCCGCCGGTGCTTCCTCTGCGCTGCATCGCTGCACAGGTTGTGGGCTCGAATTATACGTGAAGGTGTAAGAGCCGCTGGCCTGGCCGTTGTCATACCTTCTGAAGTCTTGTTGATACAGCCCCCAAGGTCGCTGTTGACAGGAAGGTGCTTGCACATGGTGTGCAGAGATGCACTGCTGGGGCTACGTGACGAGGGAAGGCGCCATGGCGCAGGGCAGCAAAGGCATGCAGCAGTTGTTTTGACCCTGATGTGCCACCTTCGCTCATTGTTTAACGATCTCTTTGGCAGATGTGTACGGGAGAGACTGTGGGATGACACTGATTAATTTCGTGGACATGTCTAACTTGTGTGTGTGAACGTTGGGAGAGCAGCCTGTGTTGCTGCTTCTTGGAAATATGTTGAAAAGTCGGGTGTGACTGTGTGCCTCTTGGGGCCGCTCGACTTGGTTGAGCCGGCTTGGCGGCAGAAGAAAATATGAACTGCTGAATTGTGTGGCAGCAGAGATATGAGTATTGTGTACTGGTCGCGTTGGGGGTGTCAGTCCTATGGAAACACAAGGGGAGTCGTTGCTGCAGGCGGGAGGGGGGTGCATCAGATTTCCGGGTCTGCCAGCTTATGGAAAAAAGTGTGTAGCGGGGATTGGGGCTCGTTTTGTGCTCAGCCCTCCATATCTTAACAAGCAATCAGCGAGTGCCCGGCTCTTGGTCATTGCGTTGATGGTGCAACTTCAAATGGCAGCATGGGCAGCCGGGAGAACGAGCTGGGTATAAAAACAAAATGGTTTTCCTATTCTCTGGTTTTGAGTCTACATATGGGATTGGTTTGGGGGAGCACAGCGGTTGGATGTCGGCAGGTACTGGATTGGCCAGGACCGGCAGCGAAAACAGGGGAGCACTCTATAAATAAGCTGACCGACTGCCAGTTATTCCTCGCCTGGAGCATGAACGAGCCACTCCTTTTCTTGTTCTGGGCTTGGCTTGATCGTGTGTCAGCCACAGAATCCGCCCCGTATTCTTTGAAGGTGACCAATCAATTTAAGGAAAGTTGTTTTGTAAGGATGGCGAAGATCAGACGATGCGCACCACACGGAGGTGGACTGGGTAGCAGGCTCTGCAGCTTCATGGTTGGGCGTAGACCATCACCATTTCTTTGCGAGGATCGCTGCGTAGTGTCTCGAACAGCATTCAGTTTGCGTGGGGGGTGGGGAGTGTTTCCGCTTGTGTTTGTAACTCGTCTGGTTCAGTGCATGAGTGTGCGGCCCTTGTTTTGCCCTGTCTTGCCCGTGAGGCGATGCAATGCAGGGCTGCGTTTTGGGTGGTGCAGGGCGGTTCGATGCGTGGCGTGTGCAGGTCCTGGCGAAATGTCGACGGGCAGGTACATGATGCAAACCATGCAGCTCACAAGGACAACGTAGTACAAGCAAGTATCGCAACGTACTGAACTCATACCGCTATTCCCCCAAACAGAGTTTTTGCTGAACAAAATGCATAATAAATATATGATAAAATATGTAATAAAACAGAATGCATAATAAAACAAAAAAGTATGCATGCTATTTTTGCTAGACCTTATCCGGCGAGCGAATTGGGCCTGGCCATGTGAGATGGATTTTCCCAAGCCGTGGCGAGCATCAAATAGCGTCCCGGCAATGTGCTGCAAACACGGCAGACCTCATGTGCATTAATGCAGATCATATGCCGCCAACAACATTGTCATCAGCACAAGCGAAGAGCCATCTGATTCTGTATTCGTTGGCAACAACATGAAGAGCAACATGATAGGTTTATTTATCAGATGCAGGTGCACGGACCATGCGGTGTCTTGTGAAGGCAGATCCAAACCAACTGGTTTGCATCGGTATATAAGTGCAGAACAAGTGGGAACAATCCAATGCGGACAACATACCCTCGCTCCATAGAGCGTCCTAGCTAGGACACTGAGGCAAGCACGTAAATCTCTTGCAAGTTATTCATACCCATGATACCTCTCCCCCTTCTGGTTTCATCATCTCATGGAAGGTAGCCCTTCTGATTCCTGGAGCGTGGATGTGACGCACGCCCACCAATGAGAGCACCAGTCCTGGACTCTTTTCACCAAGCACCCTACCTAAGAGTAAGCTTCTTTTTGAGAAAGACATTGTTCGAGAAAGGCAGTTGCTAAAGTTAGTCGCCTGAGTGATGACTAAAACAGCAACCCCACAGTGTTCACAATATGTGCGAACACCACACACAGCCTACGCCAGTCCAACGGCGCTCACACACAGCCTTGCAAGGCGGGTCCCAGGCAGAATTTGGGCTTATATATTTATCCGGTTCAAAGTCAAATCCCAACTTTCGTTGCCGGCGGCCCTTTTCTGCCTCACAGCCACCGGCCTGCCTATTCAATATAAATTACAAATTACACGTTTGTTCCCCCTTGATTCATTTCATCGATAACATGCATCAAGCAGCTCATCCGCATGCAAACTCAGCGCACAGTTAAGTGCCAAAACACTCTATGGACTGCCTTTCACTCAGAAAGCAATTAGGGTACTAGGTGCTGTATGTTTAATTGCTCAATATTCGATTGGTCACTAAATAGTGCCAATCTAGCATAATGACTGGTAGTCAATTTGTTTCTAAGTACTATGACTAAACTGCCGCCCCGTGTGGCCCAAAATATGGTCCAGAATTAGGCGGATGGACCATGGCGGACTGGGGTGCAATACTAAGGACTGGATCATCAACAGCAAGGGACATTGAACATCATCAATGGCCGTTTAAGCCATGGCCGGAGCAGCACAATGTGCATGCAGCTGCGGGCATGCAGTACGTCAGTGCATTGAACTCTGACTTCAATTGCGACACAAGGATATGACGCCCAAACTCGTCCATGAGAAAATGAGTCAAAATGTTGGCATGCTGCATGTTTGACTCCTCAATGACAGCTGCGATGAAGGCCGTCTGAATTGGCATGGGCTTCGAAGCCAGAATGATGTGAAAATGGTTTCAAATGGGCTGCATAAATGTGTGATATCGAGCCTTTTTCTACTTTAGGGTTTGATGATCCTTATATTTTCCTAGTGACACTTGACAGCCAGAATGATGATATGAACTGTTTGCTGAATGGACATGAGAGGTGGCATTTGTTTTGCATGTGCTTACATGGATAGAATTCCATGAATGCACTGACCGAGTGACATCATGTCGCACGAATCGCCATGACGGCAGCTGTGTGAAGTGTGGTAGATTTCTATTCGAATCTGATGTGCCAAAATGTAGAGGGCTGAAGTGGCATTTTCTTCTGTAGCTTGGGCCGCGCGTTGTGCGGCGTTGATGCAATCCTTTCATGAGGATTACGTGAGCGGCTGGTAGATTGCAAACATGGGACACCCGTTCGGGAATGGAACAGGCTGGAAGGGGATATGATGTGAACTCACAGAGCTGATGAGACATTTAAGGTTCAAAGTGGATCTGATGTGGTGACATGTACGACGTTTCGAGGGGTTATTTAGGGTGGCCGCGGAATGTGTGGTGCCGCAAGGTCGCGTTGCCCGTTCTTGCAAGAACCCCTCCAATAATTGGAGTCCAATTGGAGTCCAATTGGAGGGGATGCGACGGAACGAACAACAGTTTGTGAATCTGCAAGCGCCTTGCTGGTGTTTTCTGAGTGTGTGGCTTTTGCACACAGGTCGTGATGTGTAGCCCGACCAGTTTGGCTTCAAAGCCAGCGCTTTTTGGTCTGAAACGTTCAGATTTCGGCGCATGCACCCATTGAAGGCTCATCGTTTGGGCCGATTGTGTTTCTGAGTGAATCTGCCAGAACCACTGCGGTCTCTGTCAGAGATTATGTCCTTGTCTTTTTAGATTGCATGTTTTCGCCGAGCCGGGCTCCTTGTCCCGCCCAGGTCCGCACACATACTGGACCAATACATTACAAAGACAGCAGTGTTTATCCCAATACAACCCGAGGTACCCACAACTTGTGTGCCCAGTCGCTTCGCTAGTAGTTAAGCCAGTCCCATACAAGACTCATCCTTGAGTCAGTCCACCACTCCTCGTTCCCTCGTACTTAACTCCCACACTTGCCCATCACAACCGAACATCACTCTAATAAGGAGGGCCGGGCGGGAAGCGAAACAAGATGGAGTGGGGACCGAGGGGAGAGCTTAAATAGACTCCTCCGCTCGCGCCCGCCAAAGCCCATCACTCCCAAGGGCGCCAAAAACCCCTGGCCATACTTGAACGCGACGAACAGGCCACTGACCCAAGGTACAGGGGGACAGAAACCCCGGGGGCCACCAAGAACAGCCATACTTAAGCAGCACTGGTCCAACTGGAGCCAGCGCGCCCGCCCCTCGTCGCCCTGGGCGGAAACCTACTAACAGGATAGTTAATCCCATGTCTGGGCATGCATGGCCAGCGGGCAGGTTTTGCCCTGTTTCTGTGGCCGATTTT